AATGTCTGTAAAGCAACCAAAGGAGTTATTCTTAAAAGAATGGAGGAAAAGTACTAGGAAAAATTTATGTTTGTAAATGATTATGTTGAGGAGCTAAATTCAACTAACCCAAAGAGCACCATTTTTTTTTACATATAAGAATTCAACCCCTGATTCAATTTCCTTTTTTTGACAAATTATATGTATGTTTTGGGGCTTTGAAGAAAGGATTTCTTGAAGGATGCAAACACATTATTGATCTTGATGATTGTTTTCTTAAAAGGATAGTTAAGGGTCAGCTGCTTGTGGCTATAAGGAGGAATAAGAACTATCAAATGTTCCTAATTACATGGGCAATGATGGAAAAAGAGAACATTGAGAGTTGGACATGGTTTATATAACAATTTTATAATGATTTAGGTATTGAAGATGGACTTAGATGGTTAGTGATAAGTGATATGCAAAATGTATGATACTTGTCCTAACTTTTATTTATTTTTCACACTTTTTTACTTAATTGATATAATTGTTTATTTTAATATGGGAATTATTTTTTCCAATATGCTAGGGTTTGATAATAATGTGAAATTTTAGTACAAAAGAGAGAGACAACTTTAAGCAAGCAAAGAAAGAAAAAAGAAAGAAAGGGACTGCATTGCAAAGAGAACTAGCAAGAGAGAGCTACCAAGTTGGGTTTTTAGCTTGCTCAAAGGTCAGGTTTTTCTTTTTAAATTTTGTTAACTTTTGATGGGTTTGGATTTTAGTATATGTAATAACAGACTGTGACGGAGAAAAAAAGTTATTTTTCTCAAATTTATTTCTTAATTTTTTATAATAATTGTAATTCTAAAATTAACTCCGTAATTATAGTTAATCTCAAAAGTAAAGTAGCTTTAAATTGAAAGTTAGGGATTGTTTTAGTATATTTGTATAAATGAGATCACATAAATGGGTTCAATCTCAACACTTGCATATATATAAATTTTTAAACCTTTACACTTAGAAGACAATGCTTATGTAGTACTTTTAATGAATTATTATAAATTTGGAGGTTCAGAATTTGACTAGTAGGTAAAGCAATTGTTTAATTTGAGTCTTACTTATGAATTTTGAAAGAGAGATATGTAACTTGTCTTGTAATCCAATTGAGTCAAACCGTGGATACATATACGTTTCGATCTCAACTTTATCATGATGATACATTAGGCTTCAATTATCTTACAGTCCATTTGATTGGAAAGATAAGAAATAATAATAATAATAAGAATAATTTAATGATTACCTATAAAATAACATATATTATAAATCTCAATCATTAGATAAAAATAATAAATATATCTAATAATTTTAAATTTTACCACTTACAATAATTTTTCTTACCTCCAAATTACAATTTAATTTATTAAAAAAAAATCATCCTTATCCATTTTCATGGTTCCTACTAAACATACATAGTATAAGAGCCTGGCCAATACTAGCCTACTTAATAAAACGCTAGCTGTATCTTTGACAACGCCCTAATTTCATAGCAGAATATGTACGTACGTACTTATGCAGGTAACTGAGTTTTTGCTACTTTCAAGTTTAGCATACTGATCATGAAAATACTTGACACTACAGCCAGCTGCTGACATCGACAAAGGACACATGTCCCTTTTATATTTAAAAAAATTAATTCAAAAAAATAATATATGTGTGATCATCTAAATTTTATTTGTAAAATTAAATTTTATCGATAATGTTTTTGATAAATTTTCATATATAATATATATATATAGGAAATATTTGCATGAAAAACTTCTTACATGTATTATATATATATATTCTCACTGATTCTTTTTTTTTTTTATGTTTCAATTTTTTTTAAACATTTAAACATTTATTTTTAAACAATTTAAAATTATTTTTTATGATTTTTTTACATTAAAAATAAAACTTCAATCTTATAAAAAAATTAAATTTTATATTAAATACACTAAAATAAAAAAAAAAATTTAAACTCATTCACATAGACTCCCAAACAATTTAAAAAGGGAGTATATCATGTATAAGAATAATGGATTGAGCCATGTAGCACAAAGCAAAACTAGCAATAAGTTAAATTTTGGTATCGTGGTATCCTTGCAGCTGCTATCTAGCTGGGAAATAACGAGCCATGTAGCAAAAGCAGCAGGATGAGATGTATAATTAAGAGACTCAAAGCACTAACATAACAATATTCTTTCATTTCTTTTTTCTTCTGTCCCACTAACTATCCACGTACAGGGTTTTGATTTTCATTGAAAGACTTTCCAAATAGTGCTGAATTTGCCTAAAAAATGTGTGCCTCCATAAAAGGCTTGGAGTATTGGCAAATAACTATAGAATTCTTGGGGACAAATCCAAGTGTGATGAAGGCTTTTCCACTCCCACATAGTACTGATCAGTGGGAATTGCAAAAACTTGTCCATGCATGAAAATATGACCTTTTTTCTTCCTCGTAAGAGAATCTTCAAATGAAATTATCAATAATTGGGAAATATTCTCTTACGAGGAGGAAGCTGTTCCTAGTTGATAAATTTTCTTGCAAAACAACAAAGATTGAAAAGACCTTTTTATCAATGAGTAAATGAAATCTAGTAATAGTAGTCAATGATATGAGGTCATGACTGAAAATTTGTTGTAGGTCTTAATCATTAAGAAGCATCAATAATTGCACTAGGTGGAAAAAGACTTGTTATTGGCAGGCGACGTTTGTGGATCTTAATTTGAATAACGTATTTCATAATTTAAGCAAAAGGAAATTTTAATTTTTTTATATAGGATTATTATTTCATATAATATAATGACTGTAAAGTTATCTAAATATAGGATAAATAACATAATTAGTGTATAAAATAATAAATAAATCATTATATCATAATTTTTATATACATTTAATATAAAATAAAATGAAAGTATTTAATTTAATTTTATCAAAATATATTATCTTATTTTATTTAATTTTATTTTATTATAATTTTATATATCAAATTCATCTTATCATATTTGTCCATCTACTTTTTATTCTTATTGTCCTTTTATTGATGTTGTTATGATTAGCTTGTTGCTTGGTGCATATGTTACGGATTTAAGAAAGAATCTTGAATCTCATATCGAACATAATAGGAGGGTTACTGAGATATAAAAAGTTTCACACCACCTCTGTCTTGTGAGGTACCTTTTGTAAGATAAAATCGTGAGGTCAGGGGGTCAGAGCGGACAATAACTCACAAAGGTGTGAACCATGACAGGTAGGCTGATCTGGGACGCCGGAAGGATGAATGCCCGGGTCCCAGAGCCGCGCGGGTTCGAAGCTTAAGTCTCGACCCATGACAAGTGGTATCAGATCCAGCCCTAAACCGTTCGATCCACGTCAAGCGTCTCGAAGGAGGTAAGCAGGGTATCCAGCCTCCGTGAGGAGAGCGTCACGAGGTTGGGTGTGAGAGAATGTCACGGACCTAAGGAAAAGTTCTGAATCTCACATCGAACATAATAGGAGACTCACTGGGGTATAAAAGGGTTCACACCACTATAGGATAAAACCGTGAGGTCAGGAGAGCCAAAGCGGACAATACCTCACAAGAGTGTGAATCGTGACAAGTAAGTTGATCCGAAACGTCGGAAGGGTGAATATCTGAATCCCGAAACAATATGAATTCAAAGCTTAACTCTCGATCCATGACACGTAGAGATGACAAAAATGTGCAGGCTGGACCAGCTCGGCACGATGTGGTGGTATTGGAATCCAATTACACGCATGATTTACTCGACTTAAAAAGTTTTAGAGAAAAGATAATAAATAAATTTTATAAAGACAAATTAACTCAAAAATTAATAAATTTTACAAGAACAAATAACAATTAATATATATATCATCAATAATTATATTCTTTCAAAAATATATCTTTCGTAAGCACATCCATCTTCAAAAATTCACTCTTGAAAACAATACAAATTCTAAGAAAAGTTTATTGAAATAAACAGTATTATTTAATATAATATAATTTATTTTGGCCAAAAAATGTAATATAATTTACATTTATTCAGTTAAAAAATTATAAATATTCCGAAAAAAAAAAAAAAAGAGTCCCCAGGAAAGGTGCAAAAAGTGAAAATTTCCAAATAGCCAACATTCTTGACTGTAATAACAGCACACCTGAAATTAAACAAAATCATTATAAAAGTTTTAACAAAAAATAGTAAGATATGCCAATTACCAAACCCCATCTTCTGAGATCTCAACATTCTCCTTTCAATTCCAAAACGAATACCACGACATTTCACTAACAAGTTCTATGGTAAATGTACACATTTCTTCTGACTACAAATTAAGTCTATTCTTCCGCTTTACATCATGTTTTTATCACATAAGGTAAAACAAGATGCATAGATCCACAATACAGTATCTAACTATCCTTGGTTTCTTCTGCTTTTATCTGTTGGAATACACACCTAAAAAAAGAGAAAAGAGGAAAGCCCTACGCTTGAAGTACAGTTCGTCCGTCCTTTATGTATCCAATAAGCATTAGTATCGTATTGAAGAAGAAGATGATGATGATCTTGTTGAGATACTCTCTTCGTCTACGGATCTACTCTTCACTGTATAATCTGGCTATAAACATCTAGGGCATTCTTCTTGTATATGCTTCTCTACTTTTCTGCATCTGTACGTATCACATCAAAACGTTAAAAGAATGCCACATAACTGGAATTCAAGAAATATAAGTTCATAAACAATAGTTACTGCTTTCTCAGTTCTGACCATGCTTATCTTTATTGATTTTCTACAGTTCATTAGCTTCATGCCCATGATAAAACCTAAGAAAACATAAATAAATCTCAATTACAATAAAAATACCTGCTACTCTGGTTATCATAACAGAAGGAGAGATCAAGTTCTAACAATGTTAAAGCGGAGATAGTACCTTGGCATTAAGAAGAGGATAAACTAAACGGAGGCCATGTCGCTAGTAGAAACGATGGGCAGTGATAGATCATTTTCACAAGATGAAGTAGAGCACCCAATGCAGGACTTTCAATTGCTTCTGCCAAAGCAGGAAACTCAGAGACTCGATTTTCAGTAGACTTTTATGCGAAGCAGAAGGGCTATCAGAAAGTGCATGCTCTACACTGCCCTCATGCAATCTACAAGAAATGGAAATGAAAACAAATGAGAAAGACAACTAAAAGATTTGAATCAAAATAAGAATTACAGCATTTGTACTTGTTGGAAGTTTTATCTAAATTTCAAAATGAAGTTCCATGTTGTTAAGAGAGATCATACACTTTGCGGTAGGAACACTCTTGGGTATTTCCTCCACCTTTTTGAACACTAGCTGAATTCACTTCTTCCTGTTCAGCAGCGTTCATAGTTGAGGGAACAGCAGCAGCTGTATTATCGCCATTGACAGCAAAAGAAGTAATATAAATTTAACTACAGCAAAGCTTTTATCCCATTCCTTGATTTGACAGACTAAAACATATTGAACAACTGATTTTGATTTATTTTCTTTATTATTATTATTTTTTTGGAACAAGAGAAAAGGAAACTTATCCAGACATTCATGCACACACAACCACCAAACTGAGATTCCCAAATCCAACAAAAGGATAATAATATGAGATAGAACAACCCAGGCTGGTTAAGAAACCTTCTGAGACTACTTGTCTAATGCTGTCAGATGGATGAACATTTTGACTGGCATGGGAATAAGCAGGCAAGGAAACAGAAGCATGAACAGATAGGCTGCGCTGGTGATGATGAATACCATCATTCTTGAAGTCTGGAAGTTGCAAGTTCATGAACCTGCTTCTTTGCAGTTCAATAGCTTGCTGGAGATCAGCTTGCTCTTCCAATTCTCTTTTCAACATCATCTTCGGTTCATTATAGAACTTCTTTGCCCCTGTATATAAATAGAAATCAAGAACCTCTAAATTTAGAGTAAGAATACAATAAAACAAAAGAAACTGCAAATTAGCATTCAGTTTCCCCTCCTATCATTTCACCCAAAAGACCACATGAACTGACAACCCTGCGAAAACCAATGCTTGTTTGTTTGCCTACCAACACAAAGGTCATAGGGCTCTCTAGGTACAAGCCCTGAAGGGCTTGAACATGGACAAAAGTTCCCCCTCTCAAACTGTTGTCGCAGGTGTTGCCTCCTGCAATTATTCCATTGACAGTTATAAAATCAATGCACCATGAGGGCAAGATGCAAGATAAAAATGCAAACAAGAGAAGATGCCATACTTGCCCGGGACTTTTCCTTTTTCCTTGTAGGGCTTAACAAGCACACGTGAATCATGAATGTAATGGGGGTTTCCTCTGGCCAAAATGAGCTTCAGTCTCTGGATGGACAAAAGTAAATGTAAAACTACTTTTCCAACAATTAGAAGCTGAATTCTTTACCCTCAACATTTTAACTTGATACAATCCTTGAGATGCATGGTGAAAACTACAGTAATTGTAGGTAAGGCACCGGGTAACCATCATTGTACATATTAGAGGTGTTTATGGGTTGGGCCAAGCTGTATTCGACTGAACTCATACTTAATATTAATAACTTATATGCTTATCCAGACCCAATTCAACCTAAAATTTCAAATCTCATAATTTTTTCAAACCTAACCCAAATTAAAAAGATAAATCCTAAGCCAATCTATTAAACTTAATTTATATAATAAAAAATTAAAAAAGTAGCATTAAATTAAATTTAATAAGATTATAATTAATTCACATATATATAAAAATTAAAAATAAAAATTATATATGTAAAAATTAAAAATAAAAATTAAGTTTAATAAAATATATATAATTTTTATTATTTATTTATATATATATATGAATTAATTTTTATATAATTTACATATATATAAAAATAAAAAATTTGCTTATATGTGAATTCGGGTCGGGCTAGAGTTTTAAATCTTTTGTCCAAGATTTGACCTGAAATTTAAATGAACCTAAAAATTGAGTGCAAACTTGTTTAAAAAGTTTTAATTTTTTATCCAAGTCCTTTCAAAACTTAGACAAACCTTCAGGTTTGATAGTACTCCGACCCTTAAACAGGTCTAGGATGCCAAACTGCTTACTATGGAAGGCAGTACAATAGCAATAGTTGACCTAAATTGCAACATCAAAACTAAACCAATAGTGGACAAAAATGCAGCCCCCCACTCAACAACATGCAAAGAGACTTAAGATAAATCATAAACTGCATATACAATCAGAGAAAAAAAAGTGCCTGACCATTTAGAAGTAGATACCTAAAGTAGTTTGAAACATCTTCGTCTTTAAATGTACTATTAGCTGGAAAAGTCAGGTAAATCTATTTTGATACTGAGTTAGCCTTTTCTACCAATCCCATTGCCAAAAAATCATTCTTCTCAGACCAGCCCTAGGCAAACTTGCAAATTTCTTCGTCCAACATCAATGCAACAGCTTTGCAACATCACAGTGTGCCAGATGAAAAAGCTTTAATTTAGCACAAAAGAAAAATAAGCCAATGCCCATGCTATGATTTTTTAACTAACCAATACTCCCACCAAAACAAAACCAACAAGTATTATGAATAGAAAAGTCCACTGCTGAGTTAAACTAAAATTAATGAACTTTATGCACCACAACACCAAAAACAAAGACAAAAGCAAAATAAATGTTTCTATTATTCAACCAGGAAACGTTTAAATATAAAAATAAATAAACAAATAAAAAACTGACCAAAAGAAACAATTCATAGCAACAAAACTAGGATAGAAAGGCCAAATAGATAAACATCTAAATTATTTCAGCGTATATTTTATATAAAACCAAAACAAACCCTAATGCAAAAATCTTTGCGAATCCTATAGCCACCTAGATAAGCCAAAGTTTAAAACAAAACTTAAGAGCCTTTTAGATAAAATAGCAAAAAAAAAAAAAAAAAAGACAGTATGAATCAAATGGGAATCTTTTTTATTTTTTTTATCCATTGGATTACAAGAGTTATAACCCACACCCACATGCCTTCCTCAAGGCTTCTTGGCCCAGTAGGCACAAATGGGGAATCTTTAACATACCTCTTGGCATTAATTTGTAGTTGCAATAGAAGATTCATGTTTTTTTCATAAGGCAAAGGAGAAGAAACACCAGCCATCAACAGAGCAGCAGCCAATCTTTGGTGATGAGCAGCTGCTCTCATTCTCATCATGTCCTCATGTTGATGATAAGGAAGGTCCATTTTACTAGGTGAACCAACACTAGCACCATTAACAGGAACATTATCAGCTATACCGACACCATGTGGCAACTTACAATTATCACCATTCTTACAAAAGCCTCTAGCAAAATAAAAACAAGGCTCGTAACTATCCATAAGACCATCATATCCATCGATTTCTTTAAATGTCCCAAACTATGCATCACTTGCTAAAAAACTCATTCTATGACCAACAAAGTCATCATTCCTAGAAGAGGAAGAATAATTCAAGGATGAAAAAAATTACTTATTTGATTCTTATTAATCAAATCAACATTGTTATCCCTGATTTTTGGAAGAACTAAAAAAGACCCAAAGTAGATATTTTCGTAAGAAAGAAAAAGACTTAAGCTTGGGCTACTAGTAAGAGACCAAGAAGACACATTCATTGAAAATTCCAAGAACCCATTTCTTAGAATGAGCCTAGAAGATGATTGAGGAAGTAGATTTTAGGAATTGTTGGAGTTGAAGCTGTTGGGTCTTGAGATTAGGTTCAAAGGAGTAAAAAAAGTGTTTGAAGAAAGTCTTAAGTAAGTTTTAACCTTAAAGACAAGGGACTGTAATAAGGTTTCAGGACCAAAGACTAAACGCATCAAATCCCTGTCTACTAAGTCTTGGATAAGGATGTAACCCATGATTTTTAGAGCATTTTTTGGATCAAAACTTTTGATTTTGCTGAACAAAATGTTGGTTGTATCGTAAAGATCCATGAAAGTTTTTCAGTTTTTATTTCTTTTTAAAGAAACTGTGTAGTTTTTTTTTTTCACATAAGAAAAGGAAACGGAGGGAAGATAAAAAAGATAGTGAAAAAGAAATCATGTATATAGAGGGCTTGTGGGTTTTCGAAGTTGGTATTTTTTTTCTTTTTAAAAATAAAAAAAAATGAAAATCAGACAAAGGGAAGAATAGGGAAAGGGGTAAGGTTTGAAAGGAAATAAGATTGGGCTTTATCTATCCAAATTTCCCTCTTTTTCTTTTTTTTTTTTTACATTTCTTTATTATAAATTTTTGTTGTTTATAAATTATCTCAAGTTTCAATAAGTTATTGTTGGTACCAAACTCGACAAAGCTAATAAAAACTTAAAATTATATGATATTTGAAACCTGTTAAAATTAAAGTCAAAATTTTTTTAATATTTGTATTTTGACACTCAAATTAATACTTAAAAAAAATCTAAAGAAAAAGTATGTTGAGAATGGATCCTTAAATGTGGCTTGTAAAAGGTATTTATACATGAGAGAGAGAAGGTATTCGAATCTTAGTGATCGAAGCTTTAAGGATCTAGTTTAAGGTTGATAAAGTCTACCTGACTTGACATATAAGAGGAATATCTAATAGGAGATTAACAAGTTAGCATATTCACATGTTATTAAGTGGGATGTAGATCTGACCAAATTGACATGAACTTCAAGAAATTAGGTCAGCATTCCATGTTAGCTCGAACCTAACGATCAAAATGACTCTAGTTTGATAATGTATAACTTTCTTGTTAGAAAAGTCCACTACACACTTTTTGACCGTAAATGCCCCTAAGTCTATCCCCTCCAACAAACAATCTGATGGTTCAGACAAAGGTTGGGTCAAAATACCTAATTTGCTTTGGCGTTTAGTTGTTGTGCTTAATTTTTGAAGTTACATTCGGGCTAGGACTTTGAGTGTTGGATTTGTTTTGCAATTTTTTTAGTTTAACTTTTTTTAAATGACTTAAGTGTTCTGAGGCATTGATGTGATTAGATAACATTTGTGATCTTATCGAAGTAGATATTTGCTAAAATCTCAACAGTTTGGGTTTTGCTTGTTTGAAGTTTTTACTCTGATCGAGGTTATCTGAGTGTCCATCCTAGTAGATTTTTATTCATTTGAGTTTGTTGTTAATAGCATATTTGAGGTCATAGTTGGGATGTTTCTTGAAAATTCATCTTAATCAACATTTAGTGAGGAGAAATGAGCTTTAAATGAATTTTTTATGATTACTTTGAATTTGGATGATTCTTCGTATTTGAAAAAGGAAATTGAAAAGTTGTCTTCAATTTTTGAAACATGATGTAGCTCGATCTAAGTCATTCATTCAATCTGGTCCTTGCTTATGTAAACTCCTTAAAGAGACTTCATTTTTTACTGTTACTTTTAACATTTAGATTTTCCTACCCTACCTCTAACTTGATTTTGTTATTTTCATCTTGCTAGTTCTAAGATTTTTTTACTTGTCCCTTTTTTTCTTTTTTTCAAATCCTTCAATACATTTACTTGCCTCATTTAACATGTCTTATTCTAATTCAAACTTGTCTAATTTTAAAATAGAGGTCATGGTACCCATGTTAGCCATGATAGTATAGAAATTCCTTCGAATGATGAGATTCCCTATATTATTACAAGAAAGGACTAGAGTTGAGCTACTTTTTGGCTAAACCAAATGTTTAAAGCAATGAATAAAGTTGAAGTTAGTTTGCAAACTCAGGGTGAAATAGTTATTCATGGTATATATCAGCTTTTAGTTGTTTTGAGTGCTTACATGAATAATTCACCAGCTCCAGTCGACCTTGATAACCTAATTCCTCACTCTAATTTTTTCCCTTTTACTTCAGTCTTTATTCAGGCTAAGCATTTAATGATTCTTTCCAATGCCTTTACCATTATAGATCCAGTCTCAAATCTTGATTTAAGGTTAATGTCAAACTAATTTTGACTTTGAGTCATTTTTGTCATTTTCTAAAGTTAAGAAGGTTCCCAACCTTGAATAGTTGGAGGAACTTAAATAGGCCATAAAGTCTAAATAGGTCGAAAGAGAAAATGAAAGTGATTTAAAGTCTATAGAGTCTAAGATTGACATGATCATTATCGACTATTTTCTTCCCCTTACAACTCTTGTCAGCTCAGGGCTACCCCCAAATAAGGTATGAGAAACCTTAAGGGTCATATTATTCTTAAAAATGTCCTAACCTTTATTCTTACTACCATGTAGCTACCTTAAAAATGGTTTAGCTTTTTAATGATTTTAAGGTAGTTGAATAGAGCTCTAATGATCAAATAACTGATCTTAAAGAGTTTATAAGGTTTGGGTTTGTTAGGACTCTATCTTAGCTAGCCTTAATTTTTCTTTACATTTTTTCATTGTTAAAACTTTTATTAGCTTATAATTTAATTATCATTAAGCTCAAACCTAATTATTTTAAGATATATAATAGGTATTATCATTTTGTCAAAAGTTAGGTCTTTCCTTTTTATATGCTTTTTTTAAAAAAAATTTTGTTATTAAAAAACACACTTATGGGAAAAACTAGTACTATGTAACAACTCATCCATCTAAAAAAATTTTTTCCAATTGCCCAAGCTCCATAAAAACTTGAAAGATCCTCTTTCTTTGTATAAAAAGGGTTATTAGAACGTGGGAGGTGAATAATGCCCCAAACATTTTTTATGAGGCTAGTACAAGGCCATTGACTAATGATAAGCTCGAGGCCCAAAATACAATAAAAGATTTCCTTGTGCGAGAAACCTAGTTGTAAATATCCTTAGGCTGATGTTCCTTACTATTCTTTAGGAGATTAGATTTGGGGGTAATTACTTTTGCTAATTCTAACCCCTTATTTATGTTTTTAATAAATTATTTTTCTAACTCTTAGTTTAGTTTTTAGTTACAGAGATAATAGGTGTAGCTAGTTCTCAAACTTCCAAAAGTCTTCTAGTTTAAACATGGCTAGGTTTACTCAACTTACCACAAGGGGCAAAAGGAAGGGAAAGGCTCTTTAGTTTGGTGATCAACCTTTCAACTAGAGTATCAAGCAATTTGATAAGATCTACTAGCTCAGGTATCAAGCAATCTATAGTAGTTTAATGACATGTCTTTGTAAAAGGCTACAGCATACTCTCTCTTCCAACAAACTGAGCTCTGACTTAATACGTTCTGGCAAAAAAAGAGCATTTAAGAGAAGATCTTCATGCATCCAAAAAAGTTGAGTAAAGGCCTTGGAGAATTTCATCTCATTCAAGAATTATTATAATAGGCAAATAGAATTTACTAAGGGTCAAGTGTTCCTCACATTTAACTTGGCTTTAAAAAAGGTCAAGTTTATCTACAATGACTTTGATCTTTCAATTATTGATATCAACAATCTAAAAATCGAATAGGCCATTGATGAAAAGAAATGAAAAGAGGAAATAAAAGTTACAGTAATAGGATGAAGATGACATGGAAAAATAGACCAAGTTGTTGCTGTTGTGGCTGCTAAAAGAGGAGATGCTTGGATTCTTTTACTGTAGTGACTCAAGCTGAGGAGGCTGGTCAAACTAATCAAGTTGAAATGCAAGTTGGTGAAGCTCGAACTGAGAAAAGAGCCTGATATGCCCCATAGGATAATTTTTTTTTATTTTATTCCTTTGTTCAGTTTGATTATAATTGTAAGTTCTAAATCTATATTAATGAAATTTTAGTTTCTATTTACTCTTCATTTATTGTTTTACATTTTTTATCTTTAAATTCAGCTTAAAATGATCCATTAAATTTCGTAAAATAAATCAAGCTGTTCGACTTGGTCTTAAATATTTCAGTTATAGATGAACATCTACATAGTCATAGTTTTAGGTTAGAACATTTTCATCAGATATTAAATGGATTATTTAACTTTGTATTTCACTTATTTATGAGATCATATTTATAAGTTATAGATCAGATATTTATAAGTTTGCTCAGATATACAAAGTACTACCAATGATAATAAATTTTTATGTTACTCATATTTTATGTCCTTAAATAGGATTCCCATTTAAGTCTTCTAATTTGTAAGTGCTAGATAGGGCCATTTCCTTCACAATATATGGGCATTCCTAGTTTGATGCTAATTTGTCACTTCAATCATCTCTACTTAAAGCTTCAGCCTTTTTTAAGTACTAAGTCTCTCTTATTTATGTCATTTCGATAAACCTTCTTGTTGTAGTATTTGAAACTTTATAATGGTAAGCAATTATTTTAGTCAATGTTGTGTCTCTTTGATCCTCGATCAAATTGAGATTAGCTTTAAAGTTTTTTTATTTATTTCATGACTGTTAGTTTCAACACAAAAGCTTGAGAAGCCAATCTTTAAGGGACCATGACATTTATTCTAAAAGCTACGTTAAA